CAAATTTTATGAATTTCAGATTTTAGTATAGATTTTACACAAAATGTCTTACTGAAATCGTAAAATCGTAAGATTTTAAGATTTAAATCTAGATTTTGACAACAATGTTTATTACACTTTTAATTTATATCTTAAAAATATAAATTAAATAAATATTTATTTTAAATATATTTTAAATTTTATTGATAACCAAATTTAATAAGTTGTATTTATGCGTATCGAAATATACCAAACATAACATTCCACGTGCCGTGATTCAGTGACCACTTACTGCCTCAAAAGGCAACATGTGATTTGCACTTTTAAATTTGAGTTTAATACCCTCTACTAACACTTCTAATATACTAACTTGTAATTATTGTACTTATTAAAATATATATATATATATATATATATACCAAACATAATTTTCTGTTTCCCCGGCGTACCATACAAGTTATGCCACGTGTTTGTACCGCCGAATGTTGATTGATTGTCTTGGTCTTTTCAAGGATATATCTGTCATTTCGCGCAAATACACCTTCCCCCCGGAAAGCTTTCCCGCCTATATTCCCGACCGAGATAAGGCTAATGGCCGACTTGTACCCCAACGGTCAACGGACTGCTCCTCCACAACTCTCCATCTCCGCCTCCGATTATGGGGCGGCGGTCAATCGTTAACTTGACCTTCTTCTCCTTCACAGTCACATATCTGGCACTACAGTTGCAACCCATCTACACCATCGGATTTGATCCTCAGATCATCCAGGAATCGACAACACCGGTGCCCAGTCTTCAGGCCCGTCCAGGCGCGCCGTTCAGGATCGCTCTGTTCGCCGACCTGCATTTCGGGGAGAACGCGTGGTCGGATTGGGGTCCACGTCAGGATTTCAACTCCATCCGGGTCATGTCCTCTGTGCTCGATGCTGAAACCCCAGGTGATTTTTATCGTGTCTCCGCCGCCATAGCTAGCTAAATTTTGATGGGTCTCATCAAGAAAGCATTTTTCTCAATATTACTGCTCGAAATTTTCATATTTATCATTGAAACTGTAGTGAATTGAATTGCTTAGCAGATTTTGTTGTGTACCTTGGAGATGTGATTACGGCCAACAACATACCCATTGAAAATGCTACCTTGTATTGGGATCAAGCCATCTCACCGACGAGGTCTAGGGGTATTCCGTGGGCTAGTGTGTTTGGAAACCATGATGATGCGCCGTTTGTGTGGCCGTTGGAGTGGTTCTGTGCTTCCGGAATTCCTCAGCTATGGTGCCCTTTGGCTAATTCATCAGATTCAGGTACATGACAAGCTTGTAACATAGAATATGAATTTTAGTCGCTGTTGTAGTCAATGCTAAGAATGGTCAGGCTTGAAGCTTCTCTGTGTCAATTCATCGAATAGGTTATGGGCATTCTTGTCTAAAATGGGTGCTTCTCTAATTGCCCATTAAAACGTAAAGTAGAAACCATTAGACATAAAAAAGTGAAAAATATCATTGAAATCATATCAGTTTCCTTTTTCTATGTAGTGCATTTGGCTACTATCATTGGACAGGATTGATATTAGTTTCTCTGAGATGAGGCCTAATTTTGATGCCAGGGGAAGCAGCATGTAGCTTTAAAGGGACATCACGATTGGGATTGATGAAAAAGGAGGTTGAGCGTAATGTGCTATCGTACTCTAGAAGTGGTCCAAATGATCTTTGGCCTAGTGTATCCAACTACGTCCTCCAAGTAGTGTCATCAGACAATCCAGAGTCACCACTGGTGTATCTATACTTTCTAGATTCTGGGGGTGGTAGCTATCCAGAAGTTATATCAACTGCCCAAGCAGAATGGTTCAAGCGTAAAGCTGAGGAGATCAATCCTGACTCAAGGTAGAGGAAATGAACGTGTCATGTTATATAATTTGTCTAGGCAAAAAAGAAATGTTTCTACTTTATTAAGTCACATAAATTTAACCAATTAGTATTTTTTTGTTATTTTTCAGTAGTAAAAGGTCTAAATATGAAAAACACCGCTCTTTCTTTTCTTTTTATTCTTTTTATGTTCCATTCTTTTTTCATGTCAATAAAAGGTGATATTACTTGACAGGGTGCCAGAGTTAATCTTCTGGCATATACCAAGTAAAGCTTATAAGAGTGTGGCTCCATTTTTTATATACAAGCCTTGTGTGGGTTCAATTAACAAGGAGTGGGTTGCTGCTCAAGAAACTGAATCAGGCATCATGAATATTCTTGTTAAAAGGCCTTCAGTCAAGGTGAGTTCATGAATAAATATGTTACATGCATATGTATACATATACCAACTTTACCTAATTGCATGAGGTGAAGCGTTCTATACATGTCATCAAAATGGTAACATGCATTTGCTAATTTCTGTGTTACGCTGACATGAATAGGGCGTTGCTTAAGCCTTTTGTAAACATGTCTTCTGATGTTATGCTATACTTTCCATTTTCTCAGAAAAAGAAAAAAAACCTGAGCTCTGACAGCCTTTTAATTCACAAGCTGAGAATACTGATCCTTGCTTAGCTGCATAGTTTATTAATTTGCAACATCTTCTTATGTTTTGTTTTTCCAAAGTAAATTCCTTGCTCTCTTAACTTTTCCTACTGCTAAAGCCTATTGCCATATCCCCAAATCACTCTGCTCTTTGTTCTCCTCCCCATTCAACTCCAAATTTTTCATTGTTAGAAAGGACCATAGGCTTAAGGGTCATCCTTAATTGATAACTGTTCTTAAGTCATAATCATAAAATTAAAAGAAGTCCTCATTCTGTTTTGCATTATTGAACTCAGAAAGCCATTCACAAAATTCTATGACAATTAACAAGAAACAATGGTAACTGATACAATTTTTTTTTTCTTTTTGGTTGGCAAAGAAAGTCCTTAGCTAGTAATTGATACAATTAACAGCTAGAAGTTGAGAATTCAGGACAATTGAAGGTGCAACTTACCAAATGAAAATATTCCGTTAATGTAGACTGCATGCCAACTTCTTGCCAATTTCATGTGGTTTACAGTTGAAACTAATGCAAAGCCTATGTTTATTTGCCTGGTGGCAGGCTGTCTTTGTTGGGCATAATCATGGACTGGATTGGTGCTGCCCTTACGGGAAGCTTTGGCTATGCTTTGCTAGACATACCGGTTATGGTGGTTATGGAAATTGGGAGAGGGGGGCAAGAATTCTAGAAATCACCAAGGAGCCTTTCTCTATAAAATCATGGATAAGGATGGAAGACGGTAAGGTACACAGTGAAGTTACCTTGAGCTGACAGAGGGAAACCAAGTCAGCACATTGGAAAGCCATGCATCAGCGAAGTTCGTGGATGTCTTAAGAGGACAAAAGAAATGGGGTCGTTCTATTGAGAGGGGCTACTTGATACAAGTTAGAATACAAGTGCAAATGCTATGAACCTGCAGAGCTGGTGCAATTACTCGTGCTTCCAAAAGTCAAGTTTGTATAGTTGTATATTTTGGATAATGTATATAGGATGCGGCCACAGCCAATGTCAACTATATCCAAACCCCAATAATGTGAGTCTACCATGAGCACATACTAGACAAATATAATGCATGTGGAAATGTCTGTGACGATCGTTTTTTTTTTTTGACAAGGGTAATGGTTAGAAAGTTAGTGAGTTAATTATTAGCAGTTGGTCCTCAGACCGAGTGAACATTCCACCCCTTTAAATGAGGCGCGCGGTCATTAGACTGCATTTTGGTGGAGTTCACGACGGTGGTGGAGCCCAAAGCTCCAATCACCATCTCACCCAAGCACTAAGGCTTGGGGGCGAACTATTGGGCCACAAGGTTCGGTTCATCTGTGACGATCATTTTAGATATTAACTTAATGGTCTGATTATGTACGGAATTGATTATCTACAAATAACAAATGTAAGTGTTACAGATAATTTAATTGACTTTCTTAGCACTGGTTTGTTTTAACTATTCAAAGAGTATATGTTAAATATGCATTCAATACATTTTTTTATTATTAAATTTATACGGAAAATATAAAAAAGATGGACAACTCAACCACATGAGAAAAAAACTCATGATCTCATTCTTTTAATAATTGAAATTTAAAAATATCAAAAAAAATCTTATTTTTTATATTTTTATTCTTGGTATACAAAATAAAAAGAAATGTGCAACACGATGACTTCTCAAAAAAATCACTTATTTTAATAGAATTTAATTAGTCAATAATTTAATTAATTTAGTGATAATTTTTTTCATTAAAAATAAAAGATTTTAAATCTGAATCATATATTATGTGCGTGTGATGAGATAAAAAATGATAAATGATTACCTTTTATGATACAATTAATATAAAAAAAAATTTTAACTGCAAAGTTGAGATAAATATCCAATGGATTAGTGCTTGTATGATTGCGTCCTTTTTATTTTATTATTTATAGCTTAAAGTAACCTCTTCTTTTTTTCTATTTTTTGGTGGAACACCACCCCCACTCCCCTCATTCTTGGTTTTAGTGTTTTTCGGTAAGGAACTTAAAGAAATCATTAGTAACATTGAACTGAAAAGAAATATATGGAAGAAAATATAAATGATTCACCTAATTTTTTACGTGAGGAAATGGGAAAGAATATGCTGAACATAATTCTCTCACAGAATGTAACGTCTCGCCTAAAACGCCACGTTTCGTTCCAACAAACCGTCCATGTGTCCAGTCAAAGGACATTTCTGTCATTTTCGCCACACCCCCACCCCGCCTAAACCTCTCCCGCCCATAGCCGTTAACGGCAAACGGACTCATTTTCCTCACGGAAATTCTCAGGTGGCGTTGCTCGCTCTCCGATCATGTCTAAATTGAACATTTCGTCCCTCGTATTCGCATTCGCATGTCTGGCTTTGCAGTTCCTACCCATCTTCACCGTGGGAATTAGTTATCCCCGACGGACCCTCCGAGAAAGCAAAACGCCGATACCCAGTGTACAGGCAAGGCCGGGTGCGCCGTTCAGGATCGCCATGTTTGCCGACCTGCATTTCGGTGAGAACGCGTGGACGGACTGGGGTCCTGCCCAGGATGTCAATTCCACAAGAGTGATGTCCACTGTGCTCGACTCCGAAACCCCAGGTGATGAGTCTTGTGACATTTCTCTGGAAAATTCGAAACTTTTTGGTATCATTTTTGCTGTAATTGGGATAGCTTTAAACTGAATTTCATGGCAGATTTCGTGGTATACCTTGGAGATTTGATTACTGCTGACAACATACCTATTACAAATGCGAGCCTGTATTGGGATGAAGCAATTTCTCCCACCAGGACCCGGAAGATTCCATGGTCTAGTGTGTTCGGAAATCATGATGATGCACCATTTGAGTGGCCATTGGACTGGTTCTCTGCCCCCGGGATTCCTCCACTGCGGTACCCAGCCTCCCATTCATCAGCTTCAGGTACACTACAGAACAAGTTAGTAAATTTTTCAGTGAATAAGAATGGATGAATCTTTTGTGCTGTCATTTCACCAAACATGTTTTCGGTGTTAATTTGAAGTAGAAAATAGTGGGTAGCCTCGAAATCTAATGTGATTTCTTTGATGTTGCAATGTGGTGTTCAGTCTTGTTATGAAAATGTTACTGCTTATCGAATTTTTTGGTGCATTTGATGGTGGGATATGTAAGAGAGGATGATTGTTGATTATTGCACATGGTGTTAGTTTTTCTAAAATGAGGCCAAAATTTTGATGCCAGGGGAAGAAGCATGTTACTTTGGGGGCACATCGCGTTTGACCTTGATGAAAAAGGAGATTGAGGGTAATGAATTATCATATTCTAGAAGTGGTTCACATGATCTTTGGCCTAGTATATCCAACTATGTTCTCCAAGTTGTGTCATCAAAAAATTCAGAGTCACCTCTGGTGTATCTTTACTTTTTGGATTCTGGTGGTGGTACGTACCCTGAAGTTATATCAAGTGCACAAGTAGAATGGTTCCAGCATCAGTTGGCAGAGATCAATCCCGACTCAAGGTAGAGGAAAAGAAGGCCCATGGGTTCTCTTTGGACACTTTTCTTTGCACCTTAGTTTTATTGAAACAGAGCTGAAAGTTTTAACATTTAGTTCGGTCAAAAGGGATAGAAAATGTGTATTTTCTTCTAATTTTAAGCTCTACTATTCGTGTGTCAATAAAAGATGATGTTATTTGACAGTGTGCCTGAGCTAATCTTCTGGCATATACCAAGTAAAGCTTATGAGGAGGTGGCTCCAAAGTCTGGAATAGACAAGCCTTGTGTGGGTTCAATTAACAAAGAGAGTGTTGCTGCTCAAGATGCAGAATTAGGTATCATGAAAATCCTTGAAGCAAGGTCTTCAGTCAAGGTAAGTTCATAGATAAATGCGCTTAATAGGCCAAAAAAGTATATTATTTTGCTTCATAGATACGGCCTTGATTTAGTTATATATGTTCAAATTAGGACATGATCACATTGATTTAGCTGCATAGACATGGCCTTGATTTAGATGGGAAGGCTGTTCCTTTTAGTTGCTTAGCTTCTTTTACAATTTGAAGGGCTTAGGTCCACTTGGGGGTCGGGACTCAAATTGTAGTCTTTGGTCTAGTGCAAATTTGTTGGGTCCTTATTAGGTTCTGAGTTATTTCACTCGCAAATATTGTCTGAGACTTGAAACCTGCTTCCTTGGATAACCAGGGTGAAATGATAGAACCTTATCTGGGATGAGCAAACACTATGTTTCTAACACAAACTTTCTTTCCTAAAAAATTCCTCGAGATCTAGTGGCAAAAATTCCAAGGGACTCTAGCTGACCAAAACAATTTTTTAGGTTTCAAATGTCTTTTAATGTTCCTTTCCCATTAAGAGGTGTGATAATTCAGGGCCATTAATAATTGTATAACTTCATGGTTGTTTAAGGTGGAGGAGAGTAACCAAATCAAACAATCTTGTTAATGTGGACCCATGTAAGCCTGTGTGTAAGGGTAAGTAGGACATATTAAATGCCTGTTGTTCCTTGAATGTAGTGTGGTTTTGGTTTCTTTGATCTTAAAGCTCAAATTAGACTATTACTCTGCTTTCAGTGAAGCAATTGAATGATTATAAAATTTCTTTCTTGCATGGTGTGGCAGGCCGTGTTTGTTGGGCATAACCATGGACTGGACTGGTGCTGCCCCTATAAGAAGTTATGGCTATGCTTTGCTAGACATACCGGTTATGGTGGCTATGGAAACTGGACGAGGGGGGCAAGAATTCTGGAAATCACCAAGGACCCCTTCTCTATAAAATCATGGATAAGAATGGAAGATGGTATGGTGCACAGTGAAGTTATCTTGAGCTCATAACACACTCTTTAAATTTACATAGTCATGTCAAAGGAAAAATAAAAAATAAAAAGCCATAAGGAAAATAGGGATGTGCATTCTCTACACCTATTGCTGTATGGTCAATTCACTGATTTCCAACATTGTACATGATATTTCTGATCATGGGCACTTAATCATGTGCGAAGAGGGCCCTCTGAGTCTGTTTCTTGTTGTTTAGTTCTGCAGCTCCTCAATATGATTACCTTAATATGATTACTAAGATTGTTTAAGGCATACATCAATTTCAGCAATTGAGTGTTTGTGTGTGTAATTATGTCGACATTAAGCATGGAATTAAACTAACAAATTCTAGTATGTTTGACCACAAGGACAGTCAGCATTCCAAGCTTAAGCAATGATTATCCAAAAATTTTTCATGTCTCTCGGCTAAGATTGGATTTTCGACATAAATAAAGGTTCTGAACTCTTTTTGATAGGACCATTTACCAGCTCAAAAAGTTACCTTCTTTCCTGCTAATTGGGACAACTTACTTTTATCCTAAAAAGAAAATCTAGAAAAGAGGTCAAGCAATCTAAAGTTTCAACATGCATGATGCATTATATTGTGAATTTTGTAAGGAAGAAGGCAAAAGCTAGATGTCCCATCTCTTTTGGGCACACATTATGGACCAAGTTGTGAATGAATTTGAGTTGGTACAGTCATTTGATAGTTGTATAAACAATTTGAGATTCCTTCAAAGTGGTGTTTCAAAGTTTGTTATTTCAATTAGATGTGTCAAATTTGAACTCTAAGGTATCTAAGAAAGAATTTAAAGGTAGAATAACTATCTTATTTGTTCAAACTCAACATCAAATGTACAAGAGAAATTGAGATTTTAATGCCAATTTAACAAAAGAAGAGAGGGTTAGGGAGAGTAGAAAGAGTATAGTGTTTGTGTAAGCAGAATATTTTAAACAATTTTTTTCTTTTTTTGAATAATATGAGTATTTAGGTTTTGATATAATTAATCTTATGAATACTTACAAATTATTTCATCCGCAAGTTTCGAATTCAAATTTTTAATGGAATTCAAATTTTTAATGGGATTCAAATTTTCAACATAATTCAAATGACTCATTAATTACTTAAGTCAATACTGATGAATTATTTTTTATTTTATTTAAAAATATTATCTAAACCAATAACTTCTCACAAGAAATGAAGAGTATATATATAATATATCCAAATCAAAATTAAGAAGGTGGACCCAAATTACCCTACTGGCTTGGCTCTCCAAATTCAATTTGATGCTTCAGTTTAACTTCCTTTGAGGTTGACTAACAACAGTTTTTTTTTTTCTTTTCTTTTGGGTAATAAAAAGAGAGCATAAATATTTAATGTATTAAACAGTCCTAGGAACCATATTCTTGATACTATCTGAATACAGTAAGTTACAAAATTCGGAGGGACATTGATCGAGAACAATAAAAGAAGAGTACGATTTGCACACCTTTTAGCCAAACCGTCCACAACAGCGTTGGCTTCCCTAAAAACACGAGAAAGCTGAAGGGTGGGGATTTGAGTCATCATAGCCTTGCAATTAGCAATTAAAACACCAAGTGAGTGAAAAAGGAGAATTAGCAGAATCCAAGAGGATTTTAACAACCTTAGAATCAGTTTAAATAGTATTTTCAAGTAAAGGTTTATTGGTGGTGAGTAATTTAAATAGAAAAGTGATATGCACTTTGTTTTGTAAAAAATTAAATATTTTATAATTATTATTGTAGTAATATAAAAAATAAAATTTTAAAATTAAAATTTGACATTAATGATGTAATATAAATTATTTTATTAAATTAATTAATATATATAATAGTAGTTAGTATTTATTCGTCTTATCTCTAAAAAAATTAAAAAGAAAAAAGATAAAAAATATTTTAATTTATGTTTTAAAAATAAAATATTTTAGTCTCTTTCAATAAATTTTATTAAAATGATATAATTTTGAAATAATATTCTTTCTAATCTTTAAGAGATAAGACAGATAAACACTATTCTCTATATAATATTACAGATATTAACAAAATAAAAAATTATTATAATAATATAAATTTTATATTTTAATATTTTTAAATAACATAATTTATACTATATTATTTCTTTTAAATTTTAATTTCAAATTTTAATATAGCTTATCACTATCTTAACCATTGAGGAGCTCATTAGATCAATAATTATAAACTATACGGTTTATTAGCATGTTTTTAAATGGAATTAACCCGTTTGGATTATCCAGAGATATTAAGGATTTGAACGAAATGGGTTGTTGTTGATCTCAGTAAAAATCCCAAAAAAAGAGTCATTTGAAGCGGTCTTAAGCCAACAGTCCTGAAAGTGACAGTTGTAGGAGAAGGAGCACAGGCGCAAACAAGACCTTGCCTTTATAAACTCATGACTCACTTCTCACAAAGTCCCTGCATTTGCCACATCACTGGAACTCCAGAAGTGCAAATGGGTATGCACAAAATCTTTTCTTTTAGTCCACTGTTTCACTTTCTTGAAAAAATAAAAAAGAGGGCATATTTTTAATCTCTACCATCAGCATTTGATGGGTTTTGAGTGTTTCCAATTCTTCAGGTTTGTGTTCTTAGTTTGATTGATTTCAGTGTGTTTTTGTGGGATCTTTCAGGTCTAGATACATGGATTTACCGGTAAGTGGTGTGTTTTTGTTTTCTTTAGTGATTGATGGGATGTAGAAATATGATTCTTAATCTGAATTGGTTTATTTTTCTGATTACTCTTGATGGTCCCATTTTGGGAGGTTCCCTGTTTTTGATGAACTTTAATTGTTTGATAAAATGCCTCAGTCTCTGATTCATGGTTAGCTAATTTATAATACATAGAGTTATTACGACACTGTTTCCTTATTTTATTAGTAATTGTTAACTGAAGACAAAGATATATGAATTCAACAAGTTTTGACTTTCTGTACTTTTGGTATGGGCTTCTCTGTTCCTTGGCCAGTTGTTTATTGATGAAATGAGCTTGAAAATGGATATGCTGTATTTACTTCTTTTTTTTTTCTTTTTTTTTTTTCTCTTCCTGTGGTTTTCCCTGTAAACTTGTTGAATTAGCCTTGCTTTTGAAAAGGGTACCCCAAAAGTAAGTTGCTTTTGGTATTCCCCTGACTTGTTGTTGTTTTCTTGAACATAAGGTGCGCTTAGAGAATGGAAGATAGTGTACAATGCATTGTGGTTATTATAATTTCATAAA